GCCCAGGCAGGGGCCTGAGTCAGCTGGGCTGGCCGGCCGGCAGCAGGCCCTGCGGGACTGACCCTGGCCCGGCCAGGCTGCCGGGGCCGCGGTCCAGATCGGGGCTCTGGTGCAGGCCCTCGGGGCTTCCGAAGTGGCTCCGCTTTGCCTCGGAGCCGGCGCGGCCCCCTGCCGGGAGCCGCTCTGGCTTCCCGCCGAGGTCTGCGGAGGGGTGGCGACCCCCAGGGTGACGCGGTGACACGTGGCCTCGGCGCCCTCGGTGGGGTCCTGGCAGAGCCGCGGGCCCTGGCTCTGGTCACCCTGCCGCCCGGCCCGGCCTCGCGGGGGCGCCGGCCTGTGTCCGGATGGCCCGGGGGGGTCAGCGGGCGGCCGGGCTGGGCCGCACCGGCTCACACGGCTCCTCTCCGCCAGGTACGGACATCGCTGCCGGCGAGGAGGTCGCCATCAAGCTGGAGTGCGTCAAGACCAAGCACCCGCAGCTCCACATCGAGAGCAAGATCTACAAGATGATGCAGGGCGGAGGTAGGCGCGGCGGCGGCCTGGGCCTCGGCTGCCCTCCGGGGAGCCCCGCGCCCACAGCCTGGCTGCCTCCCTGACGCCCCCCGCGGGGCGGGCTGACCCGCGTCCTGCAGGCTGACCCCGACGCGGCGTCTCCCGCAGGCAGGAGCTGGCCGCTCTGCCCGAGGTGGGTGGGGTGGGTGCTCCGGACCGTCGTCTGCAGGGGTGTGGGCAGGGCCTGGCCCCGGCCGCCCCGGTGCAGCTCCGGCTTCCTGGGGTGTGGCCTGGTGCCGGGGTCGAGTTGACGTTCCTGTCTTGAAAGCCCCGCCGTGGTTTGGGGAGCGTGTCTGTGAGAACTCGCAGGCTGGGGCGGCCCAGGGCGGCGGGAGGGAACGCGTTTCGGGGAACTTGGGTGGGAAGTGGTCACCGTCCAGGACCGCGGGCTGAAGGGGCTCTCTCGGGCACAGGGCGTCCTGTGGGGGCCTCGCGACACCCCGGGGCAGGGCTGTGGCCCGCGCCCACCCGCGTGGACACATGAGGAAGCATGTGCCTTCTCCTTGTGGCCTTCTCCCGGGTCCTCGCAGCCCTGGGTTCCGGGAATGGACCCCCCTTGAACCCCAAAGCCCGGATCCGGTGAAGCAGGACGTGGTAGTGTCCGTGACGCACCCTGACTGAGCGGACGGCTGTGGGTGGAGGAGGCCTCAGTCTTGCCCGAGAGGGCCACGTTGGCCTGGCCGCCTCCGCCAGTCCTAGGGCCGCGACGGTGGCGGGCCGGACACCCTGGCCTGCAGCCGGGTCTGGGCCGCCTCGAGGGCGGTCGTTGCCTGTGCTGGGATGAGGACGTTCGCGGCTGCACGGGGCCACGCAGTGTCTGCAGCGTCGGGTCGTGGTCAGAATGGAGACTTGAACCAGCTGCCTCGGGCGGTGTCCACCCAGACGCCTGCTCCTGCTGGCCTGTCTGGGCTTCCGGGTGGACGGCAGAGGTGACCGTCCAGGCAGCATCCACAAGCTCTTTGGCTGGTGGTGAGCCCTGAGGAGAGGCGTTGGGTGGTCCAGCCAGGCCAGTGGGTCCCCCGG